CCAAGACTTGTCCAGATACCATATTTGCCCCTTTCTTTGTCTAACAACATGACCCTTTGGATATACTTGTCCATCCATCTTTCTATGTCTTCTACTTCTAGTAAATCCATGTACATTTGAACTATAATCACTTTTTCTCTTGACTTTTCCCCTGCTAGGAACTTTATCCCTCTTAATTCCTCCCTCCCACATTTCTCTGCATATTGCTTCCAAAAGATCTCATACCCTTCTCCATCTATGCAAGTCAATTCCCAAGTCTTTCAATTCAAGAAAGCAATCTGGCAGGCAGCGGTGGCACGGTCAGTGGCCGAAGTGTGGTGGTGGGAAGTGTGGAGCTGCCGCAGGCAGCCATGGCACTTATCGGTGGGGAGGGGGATGGCGAGTGCCGACCAGTGGTCGACAACCACCCACAGACACTGCCGGCAGTGTCAGTGGTGGCCAGCAGCGATCATGGATCGCCTAGATTATAATTTCTGTTTTTTCCACTTTTTCCTTCATACTGCTGCAGTGGAAAATAAAGGTTGTTTGTGATAAAGGACAGAAATTACACCTAAATTGGTTTATGTGAACAGCAACCTATTTAAACCTGTAACACAACAAACGTTCAGTGCACATAAACTGCTTTCAAAATAAAAGGATTTAAGTTAACTCACAGTCCCCCAGCATCCCAGGAGGCTTTGCACTTCCCCTGCAAACTCCCCTTGCAGAGTGGGTGGGCTAGGCTTAGCCCAAGCTATCAGTTCCAACTGTGCAGGAAGGCGTGCTCTAGCACCCACCCTCCCCCACTCAGTTTCTGGCCTGGGCCACTGCAGGCATGGGGCCTCATTTCTGGAATCAGAAGTGAATGTCTGTTCACTTGCTTATCAGTTCAATCTACACAGTTTAGACTAACCTGTGAAGACTGAACTGATTCAGCCTCAGGCTTCTTGACTATCTGTACCTACCCTGTATGGCTAACTGTCATTTCCTCTACATTAACATACTTGGATTTCTTTTGGTTTAACCTAAACTTTGAATTTCCTGGTCTTATAGTATACAGAATAAGTACAATTACAATTAGGGGTGCACCGATAAGAGATTTGGGGGGCCAATACCGATAGCCAATATTTAAGGAGGCAAATCGGCCGATACCAATCCAATATCCAATACAGCTGCCTCCAGGGGTAAGTCTGTTGTGGTGGAAGTGGTGGGGGGGAGGGAAGGAGTATGGGAGCAGATCAATACCCCACACAGTGAGGGAAGGAGGGGGCAGGGGCCAGGTGCTGCCCATTGGGATGGGGGCAAAGGATAGAGGTGCAGTTCATGGGGGGGAGAGGCAGCTCCCGCCACCGCCGGGGGGAGGAGCCCCCCCCCCGCCACTGCCTGCACCCCAGGAGGGTGGGGGGGTGGCCCCAGGACCGGTGCAGGGCAGGGAGAGCTGGGAGCAGAGCTGTGGTGAAATTTGGGGTGGCTGAGGCCCCTCCCAGTACATCAGCATCTGCTGTAAGCCCAGCCCTCTCTGTGAAGAGTGACAGTGTCAGCTCTAGCCTGCCCCGCCCCACACAAATCCAAGGGGCACCCGCCCCCCCCCCGGGGTGCAAACAGCGGCAGGAACTGCCCCCCCACAAGCTGCACCTCCATCCCGCACCCCTGCCTGCCCCGGGCAGCACCTGCTTCTGCCCCCTCCCTCACTGCAGGGGCCTTGATCTGCCTCCCCCACCCCTTCCCTCCCCTTCCAATTTACCAGCTGGAGACAGCTCTCCATGCTGCCGGCTCTGCTCCATGCTGCACTGTGGCTGCACACAGCACGGGCATCTATTAGCCAAACTATCAGCCCCATTGGGCTGACATACAATACAGCAAATTTTCTTTATATCAGTACCAATCTGATAGCAGACCGATGTAAATAGAGGTGCACCGATACAATGTTCATGTCATGAATAGTACATTAAATTACTAATATGTACTCTCAACTTTGACTATCTTAATGAAGATTTTATCAGAGATTTTATATTTTAATTAAAAAAATATTAAATCCTCTTAAATTGCACACATGAACCAGAAACCAAAAAAGTATGCCATCATGAAACATTTAATCTGATTTGAAGATATTATGTACAGTTATACCATCATAGGGCTAGAAGGAATAATCTAACCCAGCCCCTTGTGTAGATGTAGAGTTCACCATGCCTAAACTATCCCAATTTTTTTCACCAAAACTACTGTGAAGCTAGTTATTCCTGGTTCCCTATTTGTGTCACTGATTTTTCTTCTGTATGTGTATTGTTAGATGTTACCCTTGGCACAAGTTAAACGCACTTAAAACACAAATGTTCATACGTTACTGTGAAAACTTGTGCCAAGGGTACTCTGAATGGTTTTAAATGTAGGCCTCTTTGGACAAAGAGTATCTCCAGTTGGTTTCCCTAAGTGGAGTCTGCCCCACCATCGGGGGATTCTGATGCAGTGAGGTTGGGGGCTGACAAAGCTGTTTGTTGGGCATGCCTCCCATCCCCGCACCACACTGCAGCCTTGCCAATTTAAGGCTCGATCTGGTAAGGAAGCTGGAAGCCTAACAAACAGCTTTTTGGGCTCCCATCCCACTCAACCCCTCCCAGCTGCATGGGAGCCTTGCCAGTTCAAGGCTCCAGTACAGTAAGGTGGCTCAGACTAGCTCCTGTGCCACGCTGGTGTCACTCCCAGCCTCTGCACTGTACCCAGAGCCTTGAACCAGCCCCCTGTGCAAGCCCAGGGCTGAGATCCAAAAATCAGTTGTTAATAAATTCTGTACGAGATGAATATCTCCCATGCTGATATGAAGCCACAATGATGATTCACTTTTATCCCCTGCCCTCCTTGCCAGGGCAACTGCTTTTTCTAATATGCCAGAGCCTATGATTTACCATTGCCAACTAATACTCTACACAGTAAGCACAGCAGGCATCTAAACAGGACATTTTAACAGGCCATACTTCTTTTCATAGGACATCCACTATTTTCCTCCTACAGTTTAAGATCCATAAGATTCAGTTTAGTCTTTATAAATGTGATTTCTTTTCAAAGCTCTGTAATCACTAAATCATGAAAGGCATCATCTCTTTGAAGGACCCTATCCTACCCAATGCCCTGATGTACAGTTATTTCTGCATGGACTACCACAGAATTTAAAGGACTGGGGACTAAACCTCACTCTGCTTTTATGCACTTGCTTAATATTACGTGTGGATAAATGTTTTCAAGTTGCGGTTGTGAGGTATTAATTTCCCTATCAGTTACAGCTTGAGATGATCCCAGATGAGAAACTATGGCTTGCAGTAAATCAAATCTTCGTGACATGATCTCATTACTTCAAGAGATCATATCAAACAGCTTTTACAGATTTATGTCTATACTAACATTAGCAGCAAGGAAGCCCAGAGCAGTGATCTTAGTGATAATAGTCTTAATTTGAAAGGCTGTTTCAATAAAAATAGCCCATTTTCTTCTCAGAACTGTGGCTAAATATAGACAAATTCAAAATTACAAAGTAAAGTTCTACATAATTGTATGTTACTTGAATATTAACAAAAGTAGCAAAGCCTCCCCGTGTCCATGCTTTTCATCTGCACAAAATCATTATTCGTCCCATTGTTTTAAAAAACTAGCTGTTCCTTTTCATTTAATAATTGCTCTGAATCTGAGGACAACCCACCCAAGTAACTCTGGCATTCAAATCCTCTTAACAAATTCTTTTCGTTTTACTGCATCCCAGCTCAACTGCATTTGTAAAATTCTCCCTTCCCACCTTTACAGTTCTTTATTCTCTAGACAGGTTTTCTCCCCCAAAGACATGAAGCAGGTATTGAAAATTCAAGTCTAAAAAGAAAATGGGGGTTGGAAGTTCTGCTGCCAATGGGAATGATACCTCACCAAAGAAATGCACATCTAGGCTGTTAGAACATACAGCTGTGAAACATACAGCAATTTCATTAGCTGCTACCCAGCTGTGGAGAAAAATGGGATTTTGCAGCATGTATATGCTATCATCATATCGCATGACTAGTATTAAAGAACTCAGTCAAATATAAAAACTAAGCCATGTCAATCCATATAAAGCAATCAAGAAATTTTCTACCATTTTTACTGTAGTTTCCAGTAGAATAATTTTTTATATGTATAGGAAATCTCTATGAAAAAGTAAAAACTCTGTTTATGTGCAACCAATGCATATATGTTTCTATTTAATTGGAAGGCAGAGTATATATGGACTTTTATAGATTAAATAAGATATATAGAGAAAGCACAAACTTCCCAAGTTCACAAGCCCAAGTTCACTTCAGATGCCATTTAATTGGCATCTGAAGTGCCATTTCTTTAACAATTAAAGAAATGTTAAAGTGCATTTATAACTTTCAAAATAATCTGCAGAAGTATAAATAAAGAAGGTAAGCAAATAAAGAAAAAAAGCAAATACACATACTATGGGCAAACTGTTTCGCTTAATACAACTCTTGTTAACTCAATTTTACTTTTCATTCTACAGACACCTTTGGGGCTCAAATATTTTGCAATATAAAACAAAAGATTTTGAAAAGTCTATTTATTCATTTCAGTACTTCAAAGAAAGACAAAAAAATAGCAAGATGTTTTCCAAATTAATCCTTAAAAAACAAGCATATTTATATTGTCGGCTTGTGGGGTGAATACGGATTATTAAATCATTTAATTTGATATTTAACATGCCATTCCAGAAATAAGTGTGAACACACTATTTTATAATTCCCATTAATGAAAACAAAAATTATCTGCTCCTTCAAAAAATACTTTTTTAAGGCAATTTTGATGGATAAACAAAAATATCAAATGTGAGAGCAAGAAATTCAGGGAAGAGGCCTCTGATTCTTGATTCATAAAAGCATTTTTATATTTTAGTATAAACTACAACCAGTTTTTTTTTCTCTCTATACAAGCTTCAAATCCCAGGGTTTCAATCCCACAATAAATTATTTTTAAGTACTAGGAAATAGCTGAATTGGCATTACCTTCTTTTCTTCCTGTAATACTATTACTTCATGATACCGTGGGATGTAGGGGTCATATTTTTTCTTGTCTTCTTTTTGGATGTTGACATTTTCATAATGTAGTGCACTTTCCCTTTAGAAAGTTTAAAGAAAGATTTATGAGTCCTTGGTTTTAAAATGCCTGGACAACCAAATACACAGAATAAAAGCCTATTCTCTTTCAAGTGTATTATAAACAGCTGCTATATGCAATAACTGATGAAAACCTGGATTGCTCAGCAATGGGAGGGTCTATGCATATTATAAATGTACAGAAGATTCAGAAATCAGACCTCAATTATTGTAGTTTGCCACTTGTTCATAGTCATGGTGTCATCATCATCCCAGGTTCACTAGAGCAACCATGCAATGGAGAAAAAGGCAAAAAAACAAGAATACAAAAAGGCTGGAAAGGGATTCAATATTAGCAAATATTGGGAGAGCAGATGAAGATCAATAACCTGTAGATACAGCACATCACTTTCTAGTCAATTTACTACGTCTTAAACAATTAGTCTTAAAACTTCCAAATCTATGATATACTGTATGATTGAGGCTCTGACTCAGAAGATCAATTAAATCATCCATTCTCAAGTACAAGAAACAGACTTCAATTCAAGAAGACAATGAAGTCTGCTTAAATTCTTCCCTATTCATGCATTGAACTCAACCTTTAAGCAAGCAGGATTAAGTGCACTGAAAATATATGGCTACCTTCAATGTTATGCTAAATATTAGACCACATTATGCGCCATATTCTACTCAAAACAAGCTAAAGATGGATATATCATGTCATATTCTAACCTGTTAAGTACTAGATGGTTTTAAGAAACCAAAAAAATTAAAGGAAGGGAAATATATGTTAAACACACCTGTAGGGCTACGTTGTACTGTTATACGAGTTACACATAAAAGTTCCACTGGAAGTCCTTTTTTTTTTTTTTTTTTTTTTTTTTTTTTTTTTTTTTTTAATTAAAATCAACACAGAACCCCATCTGTTTTGCATGTTAAGCGACTACAGACTTAAGTGGTTACTGTCAAAAAACAGTAAATGAACGGGAACAAATTGATTTTTTTAATTGTCACAAGAAATTTAAAAAACAAGTTTCCTTATATAGCAGAATAGGAGGTTAGTTACAACAAAATATGCAAAATAAGATTGAAAATACCTTTCCCCTGCTGTGAATATTACTGCTGACATCAGATGATACTAGCCAAGCACAGGAATTACAATAATATATTTCTTATCTACTGTCTTATGGTATATGCAAGCTTTTAGTTCAATTTTCAGTAGAACATCTGAATATTTGAAGAAATACTGTATTTTAATCAAGCCACTGAGCATACAACAAATGGCTGTCACCTAAAACAGACTATTTCTTTTCAGTGCTCCAGTATAATGAAAAGACCAATAATTTCAACTATGATGTCTCTAATAAAAAAAAATATAATTGTTGGATGTAGTGGGGGTAAATCCTCATGTAACGTATGAGTTAATAAGTAAGATGGGTGGTAAGCCCAACAATTGGAAATTTAAAATGGAATTATTAGACATAATTCAACCTAAGTACACCTACCATGAGAGTTTATCCTAAGCTATTTTGGAACTGAACTGATGTTTCCCATCTTCTCTCAAATGAAACTTACCCTAAAAGTAGTTTATGCAAAAAACACACTACAGGGGTGTTCTATTTTGCCAAAAACAAGTATTATAATATCAAATCATACTTTCAAGCTGTGCAAACATTAAAGGTATGAAAATGCACATCAAAAGTTGCGTAAACAATTTTAATTCCCCCTAACAATTATACCATGCAATAAACATACAAATAAGATAAATGTATTGTAACATCTGTGGTCCCAGATCAGATCAAGCAGATTTTTAAAAACTTGATTATTTTTTTCATTTTCTTTTATGGTGTCTTGTCAAGTCAAAGTCAGATCTGTAAATATCTTAAGTGCATTTTCATATCTTACTCTGTACTCAGTTTTCAGAATTACTGGCATGTACAGGGAAAACCTCTTATATAATTCAGATAAGTTGAAATAATGATAAAATTTAAATGAATATGGAAACCAAACTTTTTGGCGGGGAATTAATAGCCAAAAATGAAATAGAACCCGGTATGTTTTTACTTACTGAGCCATATCATACTCCCCTGGTCCAGGACCTTCTTGAAGCTTAAATTCACTGCGTCTTCCAGTTAAATTTCCAAAATGTACTCCTTTATACTTCTTGGAAGACTCGGTAACATCCTGGAAATTAAATAAGCAAAGGTAACTTTCAGCTTCTAGGCAAAATGTTTACCTCATGACTACAAACGTGTCTAAAGGCAGCACATCATTTTACTGCCCTCTGCAACTTGTTCTATATGTTAATAGAGTTGAAAAAAAAGTTTTGGTTACAGTTCTGCCATATCTAAACATTTCACATAAACAGTTTAAGAATCTCCAAGTAGGATTTCTGCCTCATTTCCTTCTAGCTTACTCACCCATTTGTTTCGATTTGCTGACCCAGGCACCATTCAGCCCACCAGGTAGGCCATAAAGGACCCATTATTTATAAAGACCCATACCAGGTTAGCAAGCTAGATGCCATGGAACTAAGCAACCTCAAAGCCCTGTGTCCACCATTTAAAATCATACAAGTCCTGTTAGTTTCACTTCTGCCTATCATTGAATAGTAGTCTTGTTAACTTGCCAGTCTGACAACTAGAGTTCAATTGGTTTTACTACAGTTAATAAGTGGCTGGTAGCAGCAAAATTAACAAGAATAATGGCAATTTCAAGCCACAACTGCCAGGGATTCCAAGATCCTCACTTCTTGGCAGCCTACTAGGTGGGCAATCAGGTGTTTGGATGAGCATCACATTTTCTTCTACTCAGATGAAATATTGCAGGGTTCAGTTTTGCAAAAAAAAATTAAATAAATAAAATAATTATAATAATGAAAAACTGAAATTTTTCACAAAGGTGGAATCACTTTCATTGCCCTAGCATACACAGATTAAGCTAATTTCTCTTCTAAAAGAGCCATATCTTTTTCTAAATTTACTCAAGTTTTCTCATTCATTTTAGCTTTCACATAAAGGAAAGTCCCCAGGACCTTAAAAACACAGAAAGTAAACCATACAAAGTTGTGTCCATCAATTATATGAAAAATGAAGTACCCATGCACAATTTCTTTCCATAACAATGGACTAATATTTTCATGTACCATAAAGAAATTAAAGAGCAAATATCCCAGAAACTAGGTGGTATATTTTTCATTAAATAATGCGTTTCATGTTTTGTTTCACGTTTCACTACTAGGACGCTACCCTACATGCTATTCATCCATTATCTGTCCAATTATACCATGTGCATGTGTCCACACATTTGTCATTTTAGCAGTCAAATGCATGTCCTGTCATACTATTCAATGGAGTTCATATGAGATAGACCACAATTGACAGGATAACTTAATGAAGACATGTCAAACAGCTGAAATTTAATGTTCATGTCATGTCATTTTGTCTCACTAGCCACTCATGTCTCGCACATTTTTCACATCTGTGCCTAAGATACTAGTTAAATGCACAAACAAAATTATATGATGGTCATGAGTTTAAATGGCTGAGGGAAATATGCAGAGCTGCATAAGCCTCACCAAGCTCATGGTTTGTTCAAATTTTTATTTTAGCTAGCTCATGTTTTGTTCATGTCTTTTCTTTAGCTACCTAACTCCTAAGTTTGCATCCAAATATGCCCGAATATTTGAAGCAGATATCAATCCATATCACTGAATTTTATCAATTTCATGCAAAGCATTAAGGAGTAACTGTTAGAAACAAAAGCAGGAATTTACATAGTGGCCTATAGGAGTGAGATATGAAATTCAATAGAAATTGGCAGCTGGCTCCCTATGAGCAATTTTTAAATCCCTGTAGCAAAACCCCCAGTTTTTTGGGGGGGTTATTATTTAAAAATACATTCCCTCCTGTTCCCCTAACCATTTCTGACTTTTTCTCTCCCTTTCTATTCCCTATAGATAAGTATAAGTGTGCTAAGCCATAGGATAAGCTTTAGCATTTGGTAGCAAGTTGTTTTTGTTTAATTTATTTTTTCTCCTTCTTTTCAAATAAGTGCCCCGTTATGGATATCCACTGTATTTATATTGTATAATTATTGTGTGTATATTGATTTTTACTGTTCATATAGTATCAGTAAAACAGTAATATAGATTTAGACCTAAATATGTAAGTTAGCATAAGTCATGTCAAGTTTCCATTTTGTTTGTCAAGTCTCCATCTTGTGTTCCCTGTCCAGGCATACCCTACTGTAACTGTGTGACTCACACCTACCCCTCCTATGTAATTTGGTTCCTGAATGAATGGGGATGAATGAGGGTGCTTGAGAGACAATGGCAGTAGGTCTAAAAATAGCTCTCTCTGAATGACTGAACCATCAAAACCAATACTTGGACAAACGACCCAGGCATTAGAACCACTCTCAGCATTCAAGAAACAAAAGATGAGGCAACCACCATTGTGCCAAGGCTGCACATGCTCAGTATGAAGACGTGGAACCCTCTGGAAGAGGACTGACGATGCCTGGACATGCCCTCCCCATAGGAGATCATAGGTAGTCTTCCCCATAAAAAGGGGTAATGAAGACTGACTCCTTGGGATGCCCTCTCCATCTGGACCAGCACCATGCCATACCACCTATCCACCCAGAGGCCCTGCCGGCAACCCCTCTCTGGACAACACCTACTGGACAAGGCCCCCTTTCCAGCCTGGATAGGTAGCTATCAGCCCCACCCTCTCTTCAACCAAGGACTTGGACTCTGCTTCTCTTCCCTACCTGGACTCCAACCCTTCCACTGAGTCTCTTTCCCCTGCTGCCATTTTGAGTGTGTGTGTGTGTGCGCGCGCGCGTGTGCACATGTACGTGCACGTGTGTGCGGGAACCAATAACTTCATGGGGCTGTGTAGTGTGTTGTCTGTTTAATAAACCTGTTATATTGAAAGCCCGAGTTGGATTTTTTGTCTGTTTCCTGACTGTTTCCTCTTTGCCACCACTTATCCAGCCTCAAGCTCCCAGCTGTTTGCCTCTCTCTCTTTCCTGGCTGTCTCCTCCTTGACACCAGGCTTTTTCGCTTGCACTGGTGACCTCAAGTAACCCTGGGGCCACTTGACCTTAAGTAACCCCAAGCCTCAGTTCCTCAACCAGCTTCTCTCTAGTCTATCATTTCTAATCCCAGTTCTGGCAACTTTCACTCCTTACACTTTCTCTCACACTTTAAACTTCCCCCAAGTACCCCAAACACACACATGCATACCGTACCATCCAAGTTAGGAACTCACCTGTGTGTATGTGTAGGTGGGAGGTTTGTGTGTAAACTGGTGAATACACATATATGTCATTGCGTGTGTGATATATGAATTAGTGATATGTGTATGTGTATTGGGTGTGCGGGTATTGACAATTGATTTTTGTCTAACTTTTGGTGTGTGTAGGTGCTTGAATTGGTGATAGGTGTTCATGTGCCTAGGCTGGTAATTTTGGGCCGGCTATAACGTCATTCAAACCTTACCGGGGAATACTCCGTCCCACAACAGTATCAGGAGCTGCTCTTGCAGTCAGGCCTCTCCACTTTGCTTGCTCTGGGAGAGCTCCTTCCCCCTTGGCTGCCAGCAGGGAACTACCCTCCTGACCTCAGCCCTGGGCTTTAGATATGAGCCAGGCCCTGCCCCTTCCAGTCAGCTGACCGCTGGCAGGTGTGGGCCGCTAGCCTGTTCTGGCTGCCCTGGTAACCCACAGCTGGGGCCTCCAACTCACCACTAGGGCTCTTCCCCTGGCAGTTTAGGTCCTTTAAAGGAGCAGGGCACCCTAGTGCTCTGTGACAGTCAGGTCATCAAATGTCCCCAGGTAGCGCTCTCATGCAGAAGATGTTTCCCCTGGCGAGTGTCAGAGAATTAACCCCTGCCAGCCCTAGGGCTTATATGTGCCCAGGGCCCTGCCTCCTTCCAGTCAGCTGACCGTATGCAGGTGCCAACTAATTCCCCCATTACCTCATTATCCTGCTGCCTAGGTACCCTGCAGCTGTGGAGCTCTGCCTTGCTTGTAGGGCTCTCAAGCTAGCTGCTTCTGCTCATAAAGGAGTAGGCTAGCTTTATCACCCTGTGACACTCTTCTAAACAAAATGTTCACAGCCCATCAACCACTTACCCAGGGAACCAAACAAAACTATGTAAAATCAAAAGCCCACAAGAAACAAAATACATGATTTGAATGTGGAATATATATTTAAAATTTTGTATTATAATGCACACAAGTATAGTAGTAGTGCATATTTTCATCCATTAATCTCTTTGACCCATTAGTATAATCAATAAATGATTTCCACGTGTTTTATAATAAATCTTCCTTCCTTGTATTTGATAAATCAGTATCTCAAAAGATATAATCCAACTAAAACTAGCCATACATTTGGCCTCTTCTAAAGGAGCACTGTCTTTCCAATATCTTGAAAATAATTATCTTTGCCTACATTAATCTAATCTGCATTAGATTAGTGTATACACACGCACACACACACAAAACTGATGCTCCTCCAAATACCTTCTATTATAAAAATGTATATATACATATACACGCACACAAATGTGTATATATATATATATATATATATATACACACACACACACATATACAACTGATGCTCCTCCAAATATCTTACATACACACACACACGCATACATACATACACACACGCATACATACATATATGCACACACATATGCACACACCCACACATGCACCCACACGCACACATATGCACACACACCCACACCCACGCACACACACATATGCACACCCATGCACGCACACACATGCACGCACACACATATATAGATACACACTCACATACCTACATACATATACATTTTATATATAATTAATGCAGTTGTCTTCAGCATTAATGTCTATATTCAGAAGGCTGATCTTTGTCCCCAGTAAATTTTCTCATTATGCATATATTTCACTGTTCTGAAAACATATGCATAGTTTTGTTGTTGCTGTTGTTTGTTTATTGCTTTTAAATAAGGTTTTGACCTCTTATTCAAAATATATAATTTCTGGACCAAGCATATATTCAAGGTTGCCTGTTAGAGACTGAAATTGAAATACGTATGGATTTTAAATAATATGTGTGTTCTTAACTATTAGTCAATTAAGAAATCAAAATATTTTAATTAGTATTGAAATGT